TTACCACGCGTGCATTCATGAAACTATGGATCTAGACCGGACTGCAACACCAACATATGGGATTTGAGTTACTTCTATCGATGCTTTTTTTTGATTCTGCATGCCTACACCGAATTTCGCAGTGCATTCTTCAGTTTGTCACCTCCACACATAGACCCTCACCAAAAGTGGATTTACAGAAACATTTTTGAGTGTCACCTCCAGGTCCATCTACCAGTTTATGTCAATGGCTCATTTCCAGTTGTAACAAAGCCTGACGTCATAGAAATTGGCAATCACTCTTTGATACCTGTTAGCATAAGCAGCACACCGACCCTATGCGTGTGAGATAAGGATTTCTCACTCATTGTTCACACTCGTATGTGCAATTCCGCTTTACTTACGTATCCCGTCTTCATTGCCAAATGCCATTTCTAACTTATAAGTAATTACTATCTACCTACTTAAGCTGATAGGTCTTTGCATAAGAATTAAGCAACGGCCAAAATACGTAATTGAGGCTTACAGGCAACTTCGCTTTTAATGCTTAAACAAGAGTACTGTGACAATTAGGCTGGACTCAAACACTAATAATCAGTCCTCCTCTTGCCCCAAAGATCAACCTTTAATATCAACTACAAGACTTCAGAGCGTGCTTTGCATTTCAATGTGAGCACGCGGTATTAGTACATTAAAATGCCTATACATTGTTGTCTACCCCGATTTGTTGTTAATGGGTCTTTATTTTCATAAAATTGTTAAATACTCTTTGTAAGCACAAGTTAATCAAAAGTTAAGAAAAGAAAAGCAGGCTGTCTGAAAGACGGCATTTGAGAACAAGACATTGATGTTCTATATCACGGAGCATTTGGAATCTCCATATCTTTGGGTGGACTATCTTCAATGTCGTATTTTACAAGTATTTGTTGAACAGTTTCCAAAACGCCTCTGTATTGGCCAACAAATTCCTTCATCGCATCTAGAACCTGTGAGAATAGGTTTGTTTGTGTATTTGTGGCATCACGCAAACGTGATTTAAGCTAAAACCTTCAACAGTTGCATAAAAGTACTATTGGAATTAAGACTGTATACGAGGAACGCTATGCGTTTAGAATGGATAATAAACTCATAGAACGGACACCTTGCAAAGGCAAATAGAAATTTGGTAGACATGAACGAGAATGCTGCAAAAGTAATAATAATAAACAACAATAAAGGATGAGGCTCTGGGACACAACTTTTTGGTACAAATATTAAATTCTCACCCTAACTTACGTTCCCAACCAAAGACTGAGGTGCCCTGTGGCGGTTTGCATCACTAATTTTGATTTATGGGAATTGCAATAGTGAAATTCAAACATGCTTTTGAAAATCGAGTCCCTAACTCATATTCTGGCTATCGCAAGCAATGCTTACCTGAGTATCCATGTTTGGCTTGTTGTAAGCCAAACGCAAAAGGAAGGTTTGCTTGTCGGGGAAGAGTGCCAAACCAGTCTAGAATCAAAAGATGGGGATATAAATCAAATCTAATTCAAAGATTGGAACGTGTATCAGGGTTGGATGTATAAAACTCTGGATATCTAAGTTTTCACAAGTTCTGTGCTAAACATTCATCTGCATAGTAAGCATTCTGCAACAAACACAAAAACAAAAGTCAAGGAGAATGTTATGCTTCACTATGAACGTATCATATATCCCTGTAAGGTAATTGCAACGTGCTCCCAAAAAGGAGCAAGGATGAACCGAAGAAACTACAAATTACTTACGTAAAAAAGGTTCTTCATTATGGTATTGTGGTGTTTCATAAGCGTCTTCGCATAAGCAGAGCGTCCGATATCTCGCATGTTACGGTCTGGAGATGTAGGCAGTTCCACCATCACCTCAATCACTAATTCTACCGCCCTCGTTAACCATAAGAGGCCAATAGATCCAGAGTTATCGTTCTTATTGACCTTAGCTTCCCTCTCCTTGACCAACATTTCCTCGACCGTGGAGGCATTGTATTTATCACACGAATTGCTTATTTTCTTAACAATAAGAAAATAAATCACTAATATGTACACAGCTAAGGTATAAGTAGTTGAAAAACAATAATAATGGTCTAAACGTTGTCAATAAAACGAAATAATTGTGATGAGGCAGCATCGGATTAATACTCGGAAATTCTAGAACGATCTTGTTAAAAGCATTCAATATTAGGAGGCTTAACCATTAAAATCAAAATTCACCAAGAAAACCGACCTTTATATTTCCTCCAACATCAGTTTTGACCAGGTACAAAGCTTTGCCTTGGAGTTCTAGAAAGTTTAGCACATGGAGATGCAATTACCACAAAATGTAACAATATTGCCCGCAAACTGTAGTAACGAATTAACATTAAGAAGCGCTTCAGCTGTTGGATTCTTTGGAAAATTATCAAAAAAGGTTTCTGGCGCTTCACACATAACTCCACTTCCGTCTGCACCTTAACGCCTTGACCTTTAGGTTGAATAGGCACATGTTGGCTTAACTATATAAACAAGGAACTGTCAAACAAAAGTGTGTATTTTAGTTATAGTTGCTAAAAAATAAGTTTAAATCATAAGCTTTCAAATTTAAATGTGGCCCAATTTGAAGTAGCTTGACATTCCAATACAATATCAGTAAATTGCTTATTCGCT